AATATGGATGTTAGGAAAAAGGAAGGGGTACATTCTGGAAGTTGAGTAATGACCTGGATGGACAGTTATCAACAAGCATTGAGGAGGGGTTAGTAGTAGCAGTGGTCGGAAGCTGTAATCAAAGGAAATGCTGGGAACAGGAAACCAGAAAAGTCAAATTTATAAAGGCTAGTTGAAGAATAAGCAAGTTCTAATGCCCCAAATAAGGGTTCAAAATCTGTGTTATTGGCCTGAAATATGTGGGGAAGAGAAATGGTCTATCCCTCTGTATAACCATGAGGGATAAGGACTAGGTGATCAATAAACAAGGGTGTTTTAGTTTATATAGAGAACTGAGTCAAATAGCAGATTGGAACTGGTTTAGTATCTTCCTCCAGCTTTTTACAATACATCAACCAAAATATTTCCACTAGCAAAATTTTCCTCTTTAGTTCCTTTCTACATGACAGATTGTCAGCCATTTTTTCCTACTTATATGCTTTTCGTTTTCCATCTAAGTTTATGCTAAAATTGTGTTCTTTTTTGTTTAGTAAAAAGAAATATTATACATACCATGAACACTCAGACCTTCCGTTAATTCCACCATAGTATCTGTTTGGCCATGAACAGTGAAATATAAGTTGCCTTTTAATGATGGTTCTTTTGTTTTTTGGTAACTTGAAAATGAAAATGAAACATGAAGAGTTCTAAACCTTGCCCTGAGATTGGGAGAAGTTGCAGCACATACCAGAGCAAGTTGTGATACAGTATAACAGGCAGTGAATTAAATACCTGCCTTGAAATCACTCTTAAAATAAAGGTTACATGTAGACTCAAGCTTTAATAAAAAATTCACTAACATTTTACAATTAGCTGTGCTATGCGGATGTGACCTACCTGCTGTTAATTAAATTTTTCCTGCAGACAAGTACTTGCTCCTCTTACATCTAGCTCTTGTCTACCCTAAGATATATAGCTGGACGAAGTTTCTGTGCTGATGCTCATTTATACAGCATTTTTTTTTCTTATGGTGGGACATAGAGTAAAGTATCTTCATTCAAAATTTTTCAAGACATGATTTTGGATAAATAATTTTTAAAATATTTTGCAGGATTCAATAAATCCCCTGTTGTCAGAAAAATGTAGTATTCACTACAGTATTGCTTTCTTAAATGTCTCAACACATAGATAAGTGCCATATACATACACGCCATACCTGGTAGCATCATATTAAAAAACTAACTTTGTTATATAAACTAATCCATTTATGATTTATTGTTTTATTGTCAATATATATAGATAACACAATTCTATTTTCACCACAGAATATTAATAAAAAGGACAGAATATCAAAATATCTGCTTTGAACTTTGTCTTTTATCAAATATACTTGTTGTACATACATTTAGATTTCTCTTTCAAAAACATTGAATATGTACAATACATGTGTAAGTATTTAAATGCCTAAACAGGTAAGTAGAGGGCCTACTCTGTGAATCTAGTTTAAAAGAAACTTTATTAAAATCATCAAAAAAGAAGATACTTGGATATGTATACCCATTCCATTCACAATAAACCACATTATTCAAATCTAATACACATGGAATTATAAATAAAATTGTGTAGTGTACTAATTTCCTTCATTGCTCTCTCATTCCAACATGAGAAGCATAAAAATGTATAACAGTAAGTTCACAGGAATGATAGTTATAACTATCATGATGATATAATCATGACAATAATAATAATGCTGATTAAGATATGCACTTGTCTTACTGCTGAGAAGCATTTTCAGTAATGATTTGAAAAATATGCTATGAAAAAATAGCAATGATAATATTTTATGTACAAGATTCCTCTTGACATTTCTTAATCCAAATTACTATTCAGTTATACAGACAGTTTGAATATTGCATGTGCACATCTGCACATTTGTGAATTAAGGTTATATGGAATATTAATTAAAAGAAATGTGTATGTGTTTGTTTGTACACATGTGCCTCTGCCCATGTGAATGCACATCTGTATAAAGATGTATAAGATCTGCACACAAAACTGTAGTTTGTTTTTACCCCTATATATTTAATAATTGTCAGTGTTTAGTCTTAATTTTTCACCTAAGAAAAAACATATAATATACTTGCACACAGTAAACCAACCTACACCATTCTTATCACAACAAAATCATAGCTGACCATAAAACCAAAATGCACAAAAGAAATGCAGAAACTAAGAGAAAATGAGAAGGTAATATGGAGTTCTCACTTCCTCTGTGCCACAGAGAACTTCATGGTAAGCAGGTCACCTAAGCCCGCTGATATGACATCACCAGGTTGAACAGAACCCACTCCTGCTGGTGTCCCTGTGAGAACCAGATCTCCTGGATTGAGGGTGAAGTACTGGGAGATGTACGAGATGAGATAGGGGATGCTGAAGACCATATCCGATGTTGTGCCATTCTGACGCACCTCATCATTAACCTTAAATGGTTTACAATTACACTATATAAATTTCAGATCGATAAGCCTTTCAGTCATCAACTATTCAGTAAGAGTATTATGTGCCTTTAACCCATTGCCGCTGGGGATGGAATGTATGTACATGCCTTGCCCACTGTGAGTCAACTTGTTCCGATTGTTTTTACACATAGATGGCTACACTTATACTAAGTATCCAATGAGCCAATTACAGTACTGCCTGTCTCGCCCATTCACCCTTTTCATCGATTTACGAAAATATTTAACGTTATCCTAATTTGTTGTTAAAAATAACACCATCTATATTTATAGCACTAGTAAAAATACGTTTTTTCCCGCCAATTCAAGGAAAGGTGAAATCAGGACTAGCAGAGCCATCTATGGACAGAGATATTTCACAAAAATATAAAAAATGAGTACTGCATTTCCCCCATTTTTTGTTCATTTTCCCCGGCGGCAATGGGTTAAATAATCAACATAAATGTAAATTGATCTTATGTTTAAAGCTGAAGATGAAAATAAACATTAAAAAAGAATGAACATCATAAAGAAATTATATCTAGCTTAAGATTTCCATACATTTTTGTGTATAGTAATCTATCCATCCATGTAAAATTGATAATATTAATAATCAGTGTATGAAAAAGATATCTGAAAATCTGAGAATAACTTTAAATAAACACATTACACTTGCCTAAAAACTGATTAAAACATATTACAATAATACGAAAGAACAACAGATTACTGATTTTATGCAACTGATTTTGAACAGAAACATCAAATTAACAATAAAATATGGAGAACTAGAAAAGCACTCAGAGAGTGCAGACCTCCGCCAAGGTGCGTATATAATGTACTTACACAGCTGCTGCGTCCAGACGGTAATTCGGAATGTCAGTGAAATGTGGTACACATTTACCGTAGATTTGTGTACTTTATTGATTAATTAATGATAATAATAATAATAACCAGACGGTAATTTGGAATGTCACCAAAATTTAATCAGTTCTAAGTTAGTCCCTTTCTGACTTGTCCCCAAAAATTCGATGAAATCCGGCTAGCACTTTTTGAGCTAGGCTGCTAACAAATAAACTAACCAACAAACCAACGCTGTCAAAAACATAACCTCCTTGGCGGAGGTAATAATCTAGAAAATAGGGTAATGTCTGAAAGTACCTGGGAAGCACTGCTCTAATCCAAAAACTTGACAAGATCTTTTTTCTTTCAATTTAAAAGCCAAAAGGGGTGGTCCCTTTCCTCAATTTATCTTTTACCTTCTACTGAATACTGCATGTATCTGCTCTCATGTCATATATGTATATGCTCGTGATCTAAACCATAATATATTGTGAGCAATGTAATTTCTCAAAGCATCTAGACAATATAGTACCTTTTCCCCTTGCTTCCCCCCCCCAAAAAAAAACTTTATTTCAATGCTCCCTGGAATACTGCATCTTTCAAAAGACATTTGGTTGACTGATGCTAAGATATACTATAATATATGCCCCCCTCCTAAAACAAAAGAAAGCATATAAAAACAAAGCACTTGATCTGCATTACCTTACACCACAAGTTCACGTTACTAGGATCTACCAGCTCTTGCTTAGAGAGGAACTTTGACACTGGAAGAGCTGTGTCAAAGCACTTAGCCATAGTCCATGGATTTCCCTTCTTCTTTGCCTCTTCCTGGAAATCTCTGGCTGTCATGTCTAATGCTAGTGCATATCCAGCAATGTGCGACATCACATCCTTTTCCTCCACATCACGGCAAACAGATCCTATCACCACCCCTAACTCCACTTCATGGTGGCAATTGGTACATCCTCGAGGGAGCTGAAAAATAGAGAAATCTTTGGTGTAATATGTCCAACAACAATTGACACATGATTTTTTTTAGTGATGCCTACTCTCCTTTGAAAAAAATAGGCAAGATATTTTCACTTTTAAACTTAATAAAAAAAAAAAAAAAAAAAAAAAAAAAAAAAAAAAAAAAAAATTGCATAATATATTTCTCTACCTCGAACCAAAATTATATTAAAATTCCCATTTAACAATGGTCAATAAGTAACAATTGTTTCTATGAGTAGTGTAATAGTACATTGTAATGGTGCACAATGGATATATGGAATGACAATTAGCTCTATAAATATGTTCCCTAATATAAACATACAAATCAAGAGATTAAAAGAAACTTGCAACCAATCACATACATAGATGCTTATATAAGTGATGTGAGATGTAAAAATGGAAATTAAACTCTGTCAGTACGAAACTAAATTGATGATATGCCTAAAATGATAATGAGCTATGTAGCATATCTACACAATAAACATGATGTTCAATGTATTAATGTAACTACTTGAAGATAAAACTTGGATAATAAAATATAGTCTTATGGCCTGATAGAAAAAACAGGAATAAAGGATAACTATGAATATATACCGTTATGACAATATAAACATATTAATGTATGTGCAAAGATTAAACATAACTATACTTTGAAAGAAACAATAAATTGTGCCAATTCAAGTTACATTGCACACCTTGTCTGATGATATACCTAATATGATTTTGTCGTCTGATGAGGAGTCTAGTACGACTTGAAACATCATGATCAACTGTTCCTCTCTTATTGTGACTGTGCTAGATATATTGCCATCAACAATATATGCAGCCTTATATGAATAACAGAGATAGGAGATAAAAGAAGTGTCACAGTAAGCTTTACCAGGATTGGTCCAGCTCCTTCCTCAAGATATGAAGATGGTGGTTTCATAAACAGAAGGGGTTTAGTAGGAACAGCATTTCCAAGCTCTGCACAGTGATCCCTATAATCAAGGAAAAAATATTAATAAGCAAACAAGGATATAAATAGATATATGAAATCAATGTCACCTTTGAAAATGGAAGACAAGGATTTGTTGACAGATTTTTAAAGACATTTCTCATCACTTTCTTTTCTCAATGGCATTGGGTTAGGTCTTACATGAAAGGAATAGATAAGCAAAGTTCTTAAAGAGAAAAAGAAATGAATATAAACTGGTTAATCTTAATGGCATGGATACACTCAGCTAGGGTAAACTGAAGATGATATTCTTGTAAAGGACAGAAAGTTATAGTAATCGGTAGAAGAAATAATCTGCATAAAGCTCCCAATGTGTAAGACTTGAATAAACACCTGAGATTGCTAACTTAATTAGCAAATTCCCATATTGCCACTCAATTTGAAAAATAAAATAAAATAAATAAAGAAGACTGTGGGTTAAAATAAATAAAACATGGAAGCAAAAGTCTGACCTATCAAAACAACAAAATGAGCAGCACTATAGTTGCAATTTTGCAGGAGGATAGGTGCAAAAGAATTGGATTCTCTGAGGGACTAAGAAGAATATATGTTGCAGAGTTATGAATTAATCAATTATTTTGAGTGGGGAAAAACTACCAAATATACATCACAAGAACCACTAATGATTAGATAAGGAAAAGAAGCTATCATAGTAAAGAAATGTCAGGTAATCTACACAAATGAGGCTATAGAAAGAAATGGTCATGTCATATGAAGTGAGATGATGAAACAGGAGAGGCTCTGATTGACAGTAAAGGTAAATCAGTTATCAAAAAAAAGTACTAGTAGAAGTAAAGTAGGTGGTAATTCTTGAAATCATCCAAACTTTAGTGCTTTATACATATAATTAAGCCTCATTCAAAATCACTTTTAAAAACCTATAGTATTGAAATACTGAATAAAAAATACTGAATAAAAATTAGCTCTGTGATCACCAAACTGAATAAATCAAAGTCGATGTAATGGTAGTTTTGTGAAAAAGGGATAAAACAGTTAAGACCCTCTTTATCTGTGACATTCCTGTCCTTTAGTGAGCATAGAGAAGATATTCAATATGTAATACTGAAAAAAATATATATATAATCACATGATTAATGAAAGTGAGAGTGGCTGGCCTTTCCACACCTATAAAGACCACAATGGCTGTTTTTACTATTGACATTTATTATTCTTGTGCTTTTGGAATACATGCGAATTGAAAATACCTCATCATGACTGGCAACATTATGGGCATGACTCAAAAATAACTTTTCGATGCCATTTTTCTACTGTTACCCGAATACTTGAGTTATACATATGATGTCAGTAACTAAGAACAAAGGAAACTGTAGAAGCTAACTTTTTTACGTTTTAGATCTTTACCTTTAAATGGATATTTCTTAACTAAATCGTGCTTTCTTTAACGTAAAAAATGTATGAAAGTACTCATTAATTTATCGGTCTTTATTTTCTGCTACTGAATGCTTGAATAACATATACAATGCCCGTGAGTACCTATTCCAAATTGGAAACAAAGGAACCTGTGCAAGTTGCTCTTTTACGTTTTAAATCCCCTACGATTTAATAGCACTCGTATCTCAATCGCGTTTTATTTGACGTAAAAAAATCGTCTCAAAATACTTATAATTCCTCCCAACAGCGACCACGTTCCTTCCCCATTGAACAAATCTTGCAAAATTCTGAGCCTGTGCAGCTGCCATGGCGAAAATCCAGATAATAATCCGTTCTTAAAATCTTCTTTGGTTCTTGGGTGTCGTCTGCCCACGTCTCCCCGGCGCTGGCAGGTTTCACGTGGACCGGGATCCCACGTCAGTCATGTCAGCTGAGGGAATTTTCAGTGGAAACGATCCGTGTACTTTCTTCATTTGATAAAGGAATTGCCAAAGAGAGGATTAATCGGAAAAGACATATGCATTTATACATAATATATATATATATATATATATATATATATATAGACATATACATATAATATATATATATCTGCATACATATGTACGCTTGAGTCCTGTGGCCATACACGAAGAATATAAAAAAATCTGGATAAGAGAAAATATGACCAGAGATGACAGAGAAATACAGCAGAAGAAAAATGGAAGAGGTAAAAAAAAACAAAAAAAAAAAAACGAATAAAGGGCTAAAGAAGAAGAAAAAACTTGTTCATTTAGAGAATGAGAGGCCTCCAAGCAAAACAAGTTTACTCTCGAAACCAAAATGTGAAGACATCATTAGCCTTAAGGAATACCGAAAGATTATATAGAATATATAATACAAAGTTTATACAAATATAGATGGTTTGGGTTCGAAGTTACTAGAGCTAGATGCAGTTCCTGAAAGAAATAAACCAGATGTAATATGCACCACTGAATCCAAATTAGACGATATAACATTAGAACTCAGAGGCTACAGTATTTGGAAAAAAAGATAGAGCAAATGGAAATGGAAGGGTTAGCAATATTAACAAGGAAATTAATTATTATATAGGAGATAGAGATTCAGCAAGATCCCATATTAGAACTAAAGGCAACTGAGGTAGACACAAACGGAGTCAATTTAATAATAACCACAGTGTACATGCCACCTCATACATCAGTGTGGTCACAAGAAAATTACCAAAACTGATTCAAGAAACTAATGCAAAAGAAATTCTTGTAACAGGATTTTAATAGCAAAATTGACTGAGAAAGTTTCGATCCTAAAGCTCAATCAGATTCGCGGAATGCAAATTGACTAAACGTCATACATAAATTTTGTCTCTTCCAGAATGTAACAGATCATACCAGGACAAGAGGGCTAGATGGACCGTCTATGCTTGACCTAATATTTACAAGGCATAAAGATGACATTAAGGTTATGGAGTATTGCCCTCCTCTAGGAAAAAAAGTGATCATGTAGTAATTAAATTGAAATACTGTCTGCAACTGAAAAAAAACAGTAAGAAACCAAAGGAAAGTACATTTACAAGAGAGGTAGTCATAGAAAACTTAAAGATTATGATTACTATTTTCATACATGATTTAGGGTCAAACATAAGCCCAGGTAGTTATCTGAATATGTTTGCAAAAAAGGATAATAGATAAAGTCTCATGTCAATGCCTCCAAAGTGACATCGAGAACTTATTCATTTGGAGTTGTACATGGAAAATGGAATTTAACATCAGTAAATGCCATGGCTAAAAACCATCCACTATACCAAGACAAGTTAGGAGACGTAATATTGAATTAAGCAGATAAGGAAATAACTTTGGAATAATCATAAACAGGAACAGCATCTTTATGCATGAAAATCAAGTCAGAGGAAATGGGTAAGAATTCGATATATATATATATATATATATATATATATATATATATATATATATATATATATATATATATATATATATATGTGTGTGTGTGAGTGTGTGTGTGTGTGTGTGTGTGTGTGTGTGTGTGTGTGTGTGTGTGTGTGTGTGTGTGTGTGTGTGTGTGTGTGTGTGTGTGTGTGTGTGCGTGCGTGCGTGCGTGAGCGTGTGCGTGTGCGTGTGTAAGTGTGTGTGTGTGTGTGTGTGTGTGTGTGTGTGTGTGTGTGTGTGTGTGTGTGTGTGCGTGCGTGCGTGCGTGAGCGTGTGCGTGTGCGTGTGTAAGTGTGTGTGTGTGTGTGTGTGTGTGTGTGTGTGTGTGTGTGTGTGTGTGTGTGTGTGTGTGTGTGTGTGTATGTATATACATATATTTTTACGGTATATGTGATGTGTATTTTTATAATAGTTTCGATCTTATGAAATATCTTTGATAAAGAATGATTAATGACTTGTTGAATTTTCTGCTAATAAACCCAAAACCCTTGCACGTTGTTTCAGTATCGGTTCAAACATCCATTTTTTAGCATATTGCTCAAACCTAAATTTTAAGTTTATAGATGATGTATCGTTTGTACATTAGTGAGATTAATTCATCAGTGCAATAAAACTTATAGGTAGGTTTAAGATGTGTTCAATTAATACTAACTTTCTTAATTTCATAGGGCCGTTACTTTTAATTAGAAATGGAGCATACAAATAATGTACCAATAATTTCTGCGTGTAAATAATCCAGCTAGCGTGTATTCTTAGCAAGCCTATTTTGACTTTGTCTGGCACTGAAAATTTGTATGTGTGTGATGTTACCTTGCTGTTGTGGCAGAATCTGTGTTTTTGGTAATGGAATGCGGTCTTGTGCACTTTTATTTGTTAATGTTATTTAAGAGGATATTGAAAAAAACAACAACGAAAGTACGTGTTTTCATATTAAAATAAAATCATAACATGCTGAACTATTTCACGACAAGTTCTCGTTTCTCGTTTTTAACAGTCAATGAATATCATTAATTCTTCATTAGTGAGATGGAATACGAAACTTGATAGGTAGACTGAAAGCTAAGCGAAAGAAGTGTAATTTATTTATCTTACTACTGAAATACATTTTTTTTTTTGTGGATGTCACAGTCTACTTGATTAAAAAGAGTACGTATCATTCAAAGTTTGTGAAAGTGAGTCTCATGCGTTATTTTTCTCCTAGTTGAGCAATTTGTGTTACCTTTATATTTTAGTCGCATTAAATACAAGTATATACACTAGTTGGCAATTGTATTGCGATTAGTTCGTCATTATATCATTAGAATAGCATAAATAAATGTGCTCCACTTCAATTAACTGCAATTAGTATATCATTATATATCATT